TTAATAAAATACTTATATAATACATGAAGAAATGTGACAATTTATATTAATGTATAATCAGATTTATATTTTATTATAAAATTTTATAAAAATTAAAGAGTTGTCGAATAATTACAAGTTTCAATTCCATTATTTAAAAAAATACACAATTTGGGAAAAATATATAATTATAATTAAACATACTAAATGGATACTATATTTTCACCATATATTTTATTTTTGTTTAAATAAAAACACAATGAGACTAAAATCTGCCACAATTGTACGGATAACATATTAGCGGACAAATTTCTCGTTTTACCCACATTGAGTAAAAATACAGATTTACTGTCTAAACGCTAAAGTGCAAATCCAACATTTGTTTATATAGAACGTGCACCCGATTTACGCGTAAATTTGCCGCGATTCAAAACTTTTAACCGGTTTACTGCGTCGCGACAAAATGGAAGTAAATATTGCGGGAGATTTTCCTACCCCCGTTATTCGACGCGACTTAACACGGCCGAACTGGGGGAGGGAGAGAGGGGACTGGGAGGAGATACCACACATCTTTCTCTCTCTCTTTGCGCTTCGACTTTACGTTTCGATAAACAACTCGGAACTCCAACTGTCGCGGCTTTCCATGTCGATAGTTTGGCCTCGCGAGCTGTTACACGCGGAGCTATTTTAAGAAATCGTCACGGCGATCGTTCGCGTACGCAACATTGTATATAGCATAACGGCACGCACGCACGTCTTGTTTCGGTGGCAGATTTACCCTGACTGGGGAGATTCTCGGCCGTGGGAGCATGCGCGTTTCCGATCCACCCCCTGTGACGATGGAGGCGCGCAGAGGGTCCGCGGATGCACACGCACACACATAAGGATTTACACCGATGCACATATACTCTCCCTCTCTTTCCACGAGAAAGCACATTGACACACAAACATTCGTCCAGGAGGGTGTACGCACACTCACACATTTATATGTGTATGAGTGTATGTGTGAAGGAAACCTCTCCCTTTCTCTCTCCCTCTTCTTCCTCATTATTTCTCTCTCTCTCTCTGTCTGTCTCTGTCTCTCTCTCTTCTCACCCTTTCTTCTTATCCTCAGGACGTCGGGACTGTGTGTCACGGACAGAAACTGTGGCAAGGCGTGCAAGGAGTGCCGAATCAAGGTACGAAATCTACGGTACTCTTAGAGACATTGTGATGGGCTTAAAGATTTACTCGCGTCTTCGCATACTTGTCAATCCAATATCACGAAGATGGAGGATCTTTGACACTATCAGGTTTCTAGATTTCTCTTTTTCAGAGAAAACAAATTTAATTATCTAAAGCAAAAAATTAGCTCCAAATTATAATGTAAAAATAATTTTTAGCAATAGTAATCACTTCAATAATATTAAATATTCATCTTATTATTTGAAGAATCATTTTATTATATTTATCAATTTTTAGTCTTCTGTATTTTTTTTTCCATAATTTATTTATACTTCTCCGAAATACTCACGAACAACAAGATCCGAAACTATCTTGATTCGGGAATACGATATTACAGGAAGTATCGCGAACTCTCACAAAACGACTAGTTCGACTAAAGGTAAAAGGTATACGAATTATAAAGGAACAGGTAATGTGAAGAAAACGTTCTAGGAATACAAATACTATAAAACTTTCGAAGCGTACTTAAAAAGCCATGTGCGATACGTGCAGATCCTATCGCAGATCATGAAAACACAAATGTTGATCGACATACAAGAAATATACTTTTTCTGGTATTTTTCTGTTATTATTTATATTGTTGTATATAACTATATAATTGACACATTGTATATAATTGACTATGATACATATTCCATATTATTATCACTAAGCAAATATTGTTGTTTCATAATTTAGTATTTCATATTTTATGCATGTAATATACATGAAATTAATATGATATTTTAAAGAAGGAATGCGCATATTATAATTATAACTACTGGATAATTATATATTATTACACAATTGAATAAAAGCTTTATTGCATGCTCTAAACAAAGGTTTATGTAGTCAATAAAATGTCACTGATGTCTGTTCTGCAAAAAGCGTAATGCTACGCGCAAGAGTATTGATGGAACTAATCATACTATCAGGGATTAGATTGATACAGGCAGATACGTCAGCCACAAAGTATGTATGTCAACGGTGCATGAACTTTTTGCACGAAAGTGTTATTGGTAATTTTGAAAATTGCTCGTATTTTTATTTCGCTGACTATATCGACCCGCAGTCGTGACGGGCGTTATTTTTGCGTAGTGAAGTCATGTTGGAAAAAACCGGCACATAAATTTTTATTACAGAATGATATTATATAATGGATATGTGATTTAAATTAAGACAAGTTTTATTCTCTGGAACATTTTATTCTGACATTAATTAATTCGTGCATGTATCAGAATTTTAATAGTCAATAAACTTTTAAGAAACAATTTGATCAAATAATATCATTATTATAAAAAAAAAAAATGACTGAATTATAAAATATGTATAGATATTTTTACTACATTTATTATATTTAATAATAACATTAATTGAATGTATTTTTTAATAAAATACTTATATAATACATGAAGAAGTGTGACAA